GCTATAGGTGACGCAACAAATGACCGCGTTAAAGAAAAGTTCGCAAGTGTGTTAAATAAAGACACTGGTTTTACCAAATTAAGACAAATATGTGATGGTGCAGCCCTAGATCCGTTAAGTGCATTCAAAGACTATTTTACTTATGCGTGTATTACATCAGTAGATGTCGAACGGTCGTTTTCAAAATATAAGAATATATTTTCACCAAAGCGAACATCACTCATGGAGACAACCATAGAACATACCTGATGCTGCGAAATGGCTACACATCTTCTCCAGTTTGTGATAAGCAGTTAGTTTATCAAGCTAGTTAAGAGGGTAAGTTTTACATACATTGTTATAAATTGGAACAGTTTATTGTTTCTCGTAATAGTTAATTTCGCGTACGACACTGTCCCACGGAACATTTTTGACAGCCCTACTGATTACTGTTACATCCTTGGAGTCCTTGGACAACAATCCAGATAACAATTAAGATCATGTCGTAATTTTTTGATTACATTATAGAGGTAGGTGACTAAAATGAATAACGTAAAAGACATCTAATATGATCTCAAAACGGCACAGCCTTAAGATGTACCTAGGATTACGTAAAATTGATGTCCAGGTACTGACCACGGTTCCGTTACTATTTTGTAAATAACATCATTTTTGTCCCAAAAGTGGGCCCTGTATTAAATTATTTAATTTACTCTTATTGCTTAAAGATGTAGCAATTATCATGGATTTCATGAGATAAATACTTTTCATGTTCAGTGTTTTTGAATGTTGAAGGAGGGTTGGAACCGTTAGTGTGATAATAACGTAGTTTCCATACGCCATACACCAAAACACTGCAACTGTACGCGCATTTCGCCAACCAACTAGGTATCAGCTGGCAAGGATTAAATCGTAAACTGATTTACTATAAATTATTTTAATTTTATAAATTAATATAATAGTGGTGAGAGGTATGAAACTTCTCATATGGTCTGAATGCTACTATCCGACCGACATCCTAGATGTCTCTGTGGCGGATAGCGACTTGCATCACAGCAAGTACCGAGAGCGGCGACCCCTAGCCCAGGTGGACTAAACTAATGTTATTAAATATGATTTGAAGGAAACAACTACTCAACGGGCAAATACCCCGACCTGCATTGAATTACACCTTCAAATCATGATAGATCGATAGGTGTAATTCAATGCAGGTCGGGGTATTTGCCCGCTGAGTAGTTGTTTCCTTCAAATCATATTTAATAACATTAGTTTAGTCCACCTGGGCTAGGGGTCGCCGCTCTCGGTACTTGCTGTGATGCAAGTCGCTATCCGCCACAGAGACATCTAGGATGTCGGTCGGATAGTAGCATTCAGACCATATGAGAAGTTTCATACCTCTCACCACTATTCACTTCACCTTAGTTAGTATATAACTAGCAGGTTGGCCACTATCATTTGTCTGTTCCATAACCTATGGCATACTGAAGAGAACAAATAAGTTCGAAATCGATCTATGTCTGGTTAGGAATTGACAAATGATATTGGCTATCGATTTATCATGATTTGAAGGTGTAATTCAATGCAGGTCGGGGTATTTGCCCGCTGAGTAGTTGTTTCCTTCAAATCATATTTAATAATTAATATAAATTATCTTAATTTTTTCCCGATTTACCTCTTATTTTGGGGAAGAGTAATTACCACCATTACTCTTCCCACCCTCCGTAGGACAGCTCCTGGAATCCTACTCCATTGGTTTCAAAGATAAGTTGTTTTCCATATTATCTTTGTCAATAATAAAAGGACCATTTCTAAAGTATTCCGCGTTTTTATTACACCTACCCAATATTTATTCTACAGATTGGACTCAGCCATAATAAATTAAAATAATAATGTTTGGCTATCGTGGGTACATCGAAATAACATATAATTTTTAAGAAGGCACTAAAGTTCAATTTGCAGTTAATACAATAATAATAAGGCACGATAGATTGGATGTAAGTTGTGAGCACCGTTTCTCACATAATGAACACGTATCCACTCTCCAGCTACATACATATACCGACCCAGTACATTGCTATATCACCTCACTATCACAGCAATCGCCCGAGCTCTAACTCTAATGGCGCGCGATCACGCAACAGCCCTAATTGACTTGTGAAATCACCAACACCACAAACACAAGCAAAGTTTACACCCCGCTGAAATATGCTTATTGTTTCTTAAGGTATACCACTGAGGGCCTAAGTGTTAAATTACTCCTGCTCTCATCATGACTGTTATTTCTTACAGTTTGCTCATAGCTTTGAAATTGTGATCACGATACTGTAAGTACCTAGGGATATATTGTTTTAATTTTAGAAATTAATATGAGTATAGAGTTTAATTTAAACGAAGCTGTTTTACATACATGTTAAGCCAACTTTACAATTTTGTGTGAATTTGGCGTTGGCTGTTATACCCAGTTAAATACATGTAATTTTTGTACATCCTTCCTGAAGATTTCCAAATAGCATGAAAGGGCTTTTACAACCTCTCGGAAGACTTGTTGTCATTTGTAATCGGTGTGAAAAATTTATTTCTGAAAAATTATATTTTCTGATAACAAGGTACATATAGTAGGAGAAATCGCTTTAGTGACCGGAGATACTGGGTAAGACGCGATATGAGGGTGAGAAATGTCTAAAACATGACATCTTCCGTCTTTCACACCGCTTACATTAAAGCGAGAAAGATGATTGTTGTTTTTGTTGGCACGCGACCGAGGCAGAGTTTCACTTACATTCTGTGATATTTCAGGTAAGCACTTAGTTTTGTTAATGACTTGTTTATCAGTGCGTTGTAGGAGAAACTGTAATATTATAAGTAATAATTATTTTATATCTGTTTATTTGCTGGTGTGATTTTGAAAATAATTTAAAAAACGAAAAACTATGAGAAGTATATTATAGACACCTTAGCGGAGAGATATGACCACAATGTGTTTGAGATTACCGCCACATGTCTGTATTTTCAACCCAATTGAGTTGTTAGAATCCAGACTGATAACTAAGGTTTTAGAAGAAAAAAAAATACTATTTTTAATACACAAAGTTGAGTGATTTAAATGGCTACACACGATGTAATGAATGAACTTAATTGTTTTAAACTTAAATTAACATAACTAAATTGAGTAAATCTCCTAACGTATTTTTTTCAGTTTATTTGTTAACATCACAATGTCGAATAGCAGTGTGTACATACATTTGTCCTCGAGCTGGTCTTGAAAAAATAGCGCAGTTGTATAAAGCAACCTAGGCCATGTTTATGTATGAATCTTTCTTAAATATGTACCATATACGAATGCTTAGTTATAAAAAGTAGTTGAATATTTTAATGACCGGTCTCTCTTCGTTGATACTGAAAAGGGAATCCCAGAAAGAAAATCACGAGAATATTACAAAAAAAAAATTCATAGGTTCAGTTGTTTGTTTTAGTTATATTTTCTACATCTAATACAACGTTAATTTCTATGCAGATGTGGTTATAAAGAGCAAAATTACTGCTTGGGTTACTACTACCCCATATATACGCCACTGTTGTGCCCCCTTAGCTAAATCCTAAATCCACCACTGGCAATATCATTGATTTTATTCGTAAGAATATTTCCGATAAAATGTCTAATCTTTAACTTTATAGGGATTATTTTTAATATAATAATAATCTCTTAAATTAATATAATTGTAATAGATCGCCTTAAAATACCAGTGTGTACTGAGAACGGTTAAACACAAAAATCATAATTAGAACTAAGGCTGATATTAGATTTAATTACATTTTTAATAAATTAATTGCCGATATATATCAAACATGGCAATTATTTAACGACATAAAATGGCTATCTACGTTATTAACAGCTTTTTCTACACATTGATATGAGTTAGTACGGCTCTTTAAGCAAAATATATTAACAGATAACAGGCCATAAATAAAAGAAATAAACTACATAATTATACTTAGAATTAATTAGTAATTTGCTGTAATTATTATTTATCTATGCTTTGTTTTTCTACTACAGTCAATAAATAATTTTGTAAGGCGTATCGTAAAGGAAGGGGGTTGGCACAGATTTTTAAATGGCAGATTATGTAATCCTTGGAAGTATTATTTCATAACTAACTCTAAAAACATATACACTTTTCAGCTTAATTATTTTTATATCTATTTTGCAAGATAACAACAAATAAGCTACAATAAACATAGTTAACAGTATTTATTTATTTTAATTACACCATTTTATTAACATTTTTAAGTAAATAATTAGTTACTTTATATCTGACTAGGTAAATTTATGGTATTGACTCAGTAATTTCTAATTTGTATCTTGTTAAGCTAATGTTTATTGCAGGGGCTACAAAACTTTTTGGCACGATACTACTATCGTTGTAATTAATATTCTAGTTGGGGCCTTGTATGGGGGTTGTGAATTGATAGACTACTTGCCTTTTTGGCTCTTTATATTTGGGATTATACTAATTTTACAATTTATTTAGAGATGTAGCATATTACAATTTTGATTATTTTATTGTTAGTTATTTTATTTATTTTTATTTATACACTTTTTTGGGACACTTTCATTACCAAAATAGTATTAAGGATACCATTAATATTGACGAAACGTCGACTAATTGAAAAATAAGTTGTTTTTTCCTGGGCCTAATCCCAATAGCCGTAATATTATTAATAAAGCAGGTAACTAATCATCTAAAAAATAAAAACCTTATATTATTAAAAACGTGGATTATTTAAAAACTATAGTATGACCCTTAATTGGGATTATTTTATAAAAAAATAAGAGTGTTTGTGGTTAGCAAGGAAAAGGGATTTTTTTATCAGGACTGACAGAAGAACTTTTTTTTATTAAAATTTAAGATAGTAACTTATTATTATCATTCTGGTATAGTACCTATTATTTTAATTTCCAATACAATATGACCCCTGAGAACAATCGACTAGTTGTAAAGGGCAGAGTGTAACGTACTTGGCGCCCAACGCGGGGCTTGAACCCACGATCCTGAAATTAAGAGTCTCATGCTTTACTACTGAACTAGGTGGGTAAGGTGTAACATACAGTGAATTCACAGCTACAAACCTAAATACATTATCTATAAAAATATATCTGAAACATTTTATGTGTCTGTCATAACAGACAGACCTCTTCCTATTGATATCTCAGGAAACTACTTAAGACTTATTCAATCATAAAAGTGAAGTTACCACACAGTAAGTGCTTGAGTCTCCTGGTGTATGGCAAGGTTCTCATATTGGCCTAATGCTGTTTTCGCGATTTATAAATGTTGTCAGTGTTTCTAACTTTTGTAATTACCTGGTACATAAACACGACTGAAAATACAATTGTACGTCCAAGGAAGTTATCGGGGGGAGTCAAAATATAATGAATAACCCTGTATATATTATAATACAATAAAGGTACAAGCTTTGTTTACTCAAAAGTAACTGAACCTTACATACTCATTTTAAAATTACTAGACGAATTCTGCATCTTTATTTTGCCATTAACCAAGCTAGGATAAAAACAGACCAGGAAAGATTTATTACGATTCGGAAAATGATTTTCCATACCACTACAAACCATAATTTCCACTCACGTTAGAAGTAGTAAATTAATTCATTATTACAGTTTTCCCATAGGAGGCATTAAAAATAAAGATGCAAGCAACATGTCAAATGTGAAAATATTGTCAATCACAGAAAGGACCTATAATAAAATTTGTGTATAATTAAATTTATTGCTTGTTTTTATTCATCTAAACATAAATAGTCCGTATGGGGTTCCACAAGGTAGTGTATTAGGACCACTTCTCTTTATTACATATGTAAATGATATTCAGTGCGTATTAAAAGATTCATTTGTAAATTTGTTTGCTGATGACACTGTAATTACTGTATCTGGTAAAGATTTTAATGATATTACTAACATTCTTAATAGCGAGCTTGATATATTGTATAACTGGCTATGCAGTAATAAATTGAAATTGAATTCAGATAAAACTAAACTTATGGTCCTAGGTTCTAAATCTATAAGTAATAAATACTTAGCTAATAGTTATGTCGTTAAAATTAATGAGTGTCCCATTGAAATCGTGAAGCAAATTAAATATTTAGGAGTTATGTTAGATCCACAACTTACATTTTGTCATCAAATGAATTACATATGTAAAAAAATTGGAAAGATTGGAATTTTTATAGGATATCACATAATTTATCACAGTGGAGTAAATTACTGATTTATAACACCATAGTCTATCCACATTTCACATATTGCGCATCGTTTTTGATAGCATGTGATACTCATGAAATAAATAGATTGCAAATACTGCAGAATAAAGCAATGCGAATTATATTAAAATGTAACATCTACACTCCTGTGAAATCTATGTTAAACGTGCTAAATTGGTCATCAGTTGAGCAGTGCATTAGAAGAGCTAATTTAATTTTAATATATAAAATAAGTAGAGAAGAAGTACCTATCTATCTACAAAATCTAAAGAAACGTACAGATATACATAGTTACAATACCAGACGGAAAAATCACTATGACGTTGAGTGTGTCAAAAAATCCTTTTTACAAGGTTCATTATTTAATGAAGGACTTCGTCTTTTTAATACTCTGCCAACTGATATAAAGGATGCACCAAGTGTAAAAACATTTAATAAATATGTATGTAAATATCTCACAAGTAATTAAGTAAAATAGTCTGAAGTCTGAATATATTTCGAATACCTTACAATTTTATATACTCATTCTAGTAGTTTCGGATACAATTACTTTTTATTTGTTTGTTTTTTGTGTTAGAAATAGTAATATTACTTAGGTTAGATTATTTAGGTTTAATTAAATATCTATGTATCTATGTAGCGGATAGTGCTAAATAAAGTTCTATCTATCTATCTATCTATCTATCTATCTAAACACGTAACTTTGACTATGCTATCATGTGCTTTGCAAATATTCGCTAAATTCGTAGATGTCAAATTTATTTAATGATGTGTACTCGTACATATTTCATTTCAGTATTAAAAACTGAGAAGATTTATAAGAGATTTCTATACGAATTCTTTCAAGATATGACCACTCTAGGCAATTATTTTTGGAAAAGCCCCATAGAAAAACTATCATTATATTGCATTTGTCAATCGTCTCAAAAATTACAAGAGTATCTATGATTGTGTTGTATTATATTATATTTATTTCGAAGCTAGGTTTTTAATTATTTTAATGTTTTTTGTTGTATATTTAATATTATGTACATACTTAGTGCTATTTGACTTTTTTTTGTTTTATCTGTAGAGAACTTTGAAATTAATTAAAAAAAGAAGTCGTCATTTTAAATCCAGATATCGCCGAGATACACATGACTCAACAGACATTAATTATAATTATTTTCAGATAAATTGATTGTAAGGAAAGAGTTAAATAATTTCGCCTCCGCCACTGCTTATTTCATATCAGATAATTACGAGAAAGAAATTAAATGAAATAAATTCGTAACAACTGCTAATTATAAGTTTATTTGTGTGCAATTATTTATGTAGATAAGGACCCTCGCATTACAGTTAAATAATTTGTTATACCCGGTAATTATAGGAGTTTCATTCTTTTGGATCTTCATGCAGGTTGAGTTAACTGACTGCATTCTTTATATGCAAAATAGCTTTGAACACAAAACAACTACTAACAAATAGCTACAAATTGTTTCCAACTACTCTACATCTTTATTTACTTGATATTTTAAATTTTCAACACGGCTGCATTAAATTCACTTTTTATCACATTTACAATACAAAACTCCGATTTTACCACACAAAAATCTTTAATGAATGCATGTAATCATTAAGAATTCTAGATTTCATTTCAAGATATCTGTGGCTGTAATGAAACGTAATTTATATTACACCACGACCGTGACCACGTCTATCGATCTTTTTGTCTGTGATACTTTACGGAGGTGTCAGAAATGTACAAACAACTAACAATGCACATTGCACACGATACAATTATTTGCGAGCATTCAAATTTAAAACAGTGTTGTGAAAGGCTTCGTCTTTTCGTTTTAAAGGCATGAGCTTATCTCGCGTGGTTTCCTGTAAGTAATAATTTTATTGGGGTACATAGTACAATTTAACGAACTTACAATGTGTCCAACAACTCATTATAAAAGCAAAATAAACTTAAAATATTGAGAAACGTATTCCTTCTCTTCATATCTGCATAATTAAAAAAATTAAAACATTTGTAAGTATCTACTAATCAAACTGTTATTTTTGTTACTTTACTAATATTACTACCCTTTTTTAGGATCTGAATATGGAAGCAGAAAAACATTTAAACATCAACAAAAGCACATATTATGGTCGAAGGACCAAAATTTATTTTAAAAATACAGAGAATTCTACAGAGAATTTTATGATTTTTAGTTACAATATGCTTCATTATTAGCATGTAGTATGGTTACTTAGAAAACTGTGCCCTTATGTACATGATGATTTTTACGACAAGTTGATGCGTAATCTATAGAGCATAAACCACAAATCTAGCAAAGTCATACATTTTATTCTAAAAGTGCCAACGGGATCAAAAACTAAGCGACTTTTGTCAGAGCGAGCACTTCACCATATACATGCATAAGAACTGCTTATTCCGTACCGAAGACAGTGGCTGAGATTACATACCAACAAACATTTTCATGAATAATACTGTTTCTACGTTTTCTGCTGAAAAACGTCTCCTTCATGGGGTTAAACACACTTGTGTAAAGCGAAAATGATCTCTCAGCATCTACCGAAGTAAAATTTGCAAACATTATCTTTCCAAATTACTTACATTTGTAATCTTTTTTGGCCCACCAGGGTCTAAAACTCGTACTAAAACATTTGTCGCATGATTTCCTTTTGCCTCTGTATTCTCGTCTGGTGTTATCCATATTTTTTGGTTTTTTAATACACTTTTAATTTTGTTTATTATTAAGCTATTCATACAGTTCATTTTGCGACTCGCTGCGTGTGTCTTGGAGAACCACTTTTACGGCACAAATATTATGATTGATGGTAGAGACGCAAGGACACACTTGACTCTCACCCAAAAGTCCCGGGTTCGAATCCTGGCCGTGGCACTGGGATTTTTCTGTGAGAGATTAATCGTAGTATACTCGGATATTGGATGTGTGTCCGTTGTATCTAAATATGTAGCCCCCTCACGCACAACGTCAGTTTATAGATATAAAGGGTTGTATTATCTGTGGTGTTTATTATTATTATTATATTATATTCAACCCCCTTCAACCCGTTCCGCTCGAGCCAGCCTCTCAGAAATTTTAAATAGCAATAGTGGTTGCTTATTGCCTCATTCAGATGGTACTTTAATTCTCTAATCACTAGTTTGGTCAGTTTTTAATTTTGTCAATTTGTATTTGAGAAATTGACTGAAATAATTAAAATAAATATAGTTTAAAAAAACTAAAAAACACGCTTTTAAAGCACATCAAACTAAAAAGTGAAAAATAATTATTAATATAAACTGAAAATAATAATGAACGAAAAATACTAGTATTATTGTGAAAAAAAGCGTGGGGTGCTTTATGCAATATTTTTCGTATATCGAGCACCCCACGCTTTTTTCACAATAATACTAGTATTTTTCGTTCATTATTATTTTCAGTTTATATTAATAATTATTTTTCACTTTTTAGTTTGATGTGCTTTAAAAGCGTGTTTTTTAGTTTTTTTAAACTATATTTATTTTTAACTTTTTAGTTTGATGTGCTATGAAAGCGTGTTTTTTAGTTGTTTTAAACTATATTTATATTGCTTATTGATGCTGATATTATAACATATTACGATCCAACAGATATTTCTGAAAAAAAAAAAAAAATTTTATTTCAGCCGTGAGGTTCGAACTCACGCCGGATGAGTCTGTCGTTTCGCGTCGAGTGCCTTAACCTACTCGACCACCGGGCTAATTAACAATTATGGAAACTACTGACATATTAAGCCTTTACTTTCACGCAGGGATACGTGAGGAAAGGATTGGCGATCC